GGTGCTTTACATAACTGATAAGCTTTACTAGATAGTGCCAAAATTTAAAGTTGCTTACAAGCTGGCGTACTTCTGTCGGTATGATCAGTTACTAATATATAAATATATAGATTGGAACAGACCATGAAGAACTATGGCTATGTTATTTTTTTACAGCATTTATTGAAAGCAGGAATGCAGAAAGCCTGTGAGGAGAGGAAGGAGAAGGCCTAAGAGATGTTTGATACTACTGAGTTTGGCAACGATATACAAAATGCCATGGTGGAATAGGGCCACGCCACCAATATCCACCATACCTCTAAGATGTACTGTTCTAGTTTTAAATATGAAACATTTTTATTATTTGAAGAGAGCAATCTCAATTTTATATACATTCTTTATAACTTTAATTCTATTGCAGCTAAAATTTTCATTTTTGTTTCTTTATTTAAGTACCCAATTGTATATTGATGAGTTATGCTTCATAATAAACATAAACCATACAATATTTTATATTTTATCATCCTAATTGAAAATCCATTGAATTTTAATTGACACATCTAAAAATTATAGGAATACAGTATTTATAAAAATTAATGGGGGCCCCGGTGGTCGAGCGAGTTAAGGCGCCTGCAAAAATTGTATACAAGTGTTGAAATCATGTTTGCAGAAATTAATAACACAGAAAAAAAAAATAATAAATTGAAACTAGTAAGTGCAGGCCCTACTCGTAATACTTGGACCACTATGGCGCAGGTTAGATTCCCACATGGAGATGGTAACGTCGCCACTCAGAGATTCATAGGGAAGTGAGCGACCCCTGTGTCTTACACCATAGCTCCTGGTCCTCCAGGTTAGGGGTTGGGTACAGGGCTGGTGATCTCCTATCCCATAAAAAACTGGAAGGATGATTGCTACAAAAGATATAACCATCCTTCAGGAAAGTTCCCGATAAAGAGGGAGAGAATTGTGTGAGTTAGTACACCATGTAATCCCTGGATATCTCGAAGAAGAGAGAACACCAAATGATCACTACTGTCGCCTATAACAGCCACAAAAAGCTGCTTGAGAAGACTCATGATGAAAAAGTCAAAGTCAACTGGCGTAATAAAAAAATTTATAAGCCTTTTATTTTATATTCCACTCTTTGCGACATCCGAAAACACATTTAGTGACGTAGATGTAATCTGGGAATAAATTAGTCAGGACGTTGGAGTACTGTACTTTTACAGTGTGGTCTGCAATAAGAATAATAAGTCAGGAATCTACACCGGTGCCTACATCAAGTTAAGGGTGATTCGGCTTTGATTTATTTTTCCATGTATGCTGAGGTACAATGATTTTGCACCATAAAAATATCAACTTTACAGAGTTAAAGGAAGTTTAATCAACTGGGGTGTTAAGCCCACCTCGCAGGCTATCAGAGATATGTATTATCTCGTCTAGTCTTATATAAAACCAATTACATGATATGCACAAAGCAGACTTGCTTTGGACCTGCTATTCGCTAATTGTTTAACATTAAATATATATTTTATTTCCTGATAAATATTGTACAATGTATTTATTAAAAAAAAAAAAAAATACAAACATAAAATTATAACCCATCTATAATTCTTCTTGTGATTATGAATCAATATTTCATAAAATAACTTTAAAGAATAAATAAACCATACGTGCATTACTTTCAGTTGTGCAGCATTTATTTTATTTTTTATAAAGCTGTTTAATTTAAGTTGCTTTATGTGCCAAGGCCTCCAAAATCTTAGTCATTCAAATTAGTAATTTCCTTTCAATTTTTCAGTTAGGTAAAGCAAAGTTAAAAAAAAATAAAATAAAAAAAGGTTAATGCTGTACCAATTGAAAACTCGGTACAAAAATTGTTTCACCACATGCATCAATGTTCTAATAAAATAAATTGTGCTTTGGAACTAAACAGCCGTTAGAGAACTAAATGCCTTCTCAACATTTGGTTGAATAAAAGATGAAATACAAAATTGTAGGCGTTCACCTGACAGTTTCAGTATACTTCCCAAACATATTCAAATAAAATGTTCAGCCATCATGTGCTTGAAATCAAGTATTGAGAAAAAAATGAGAACACTTCGAGAAAAAAAATGTTCAGTGGACTTGGCCAAAATAAAATGACATTTTTCTCAATTTCATTGATATTTATACAATACTCAATATTGAATTTAAACCATATTTTTAAAAAGTATGGAAGAATACAAAATTAAGACAAGAGCTTTAATGTGGGTTTGAACCTGGCTGATGGCAAATACTTATTTATTCTATTTTCTCAGTTATGGATCGACTGTGGGAGAACACCCAGCATTTATAAAGTGGGTGCCTTCTTTAATTATTTAATTGAGACAATTGGGATTACTCGTAAATATATTTTATTCCTTTGAACAATTTATAGAAACCAACAAAGTTTTACTTTTTTCTTATAACAAACAATGGAAAATTCTTTATAGTTTTCTCATTGAACAAATCATATGTAGTATGAAAAAACAATTAATCAAAACATTATAAGATCATGGCCAAGACCAAGGTGCTGTTTAATAGAAACATTCAAATTAGCGTATCGTGTACTTGAAGACAAGAAAAGACACATGGATAAACTTCTGCATCTCATTAGAATGTAAGGAAAGTGAATCAAAAAGGATTCGGATATATATCCTCTACTAAGCAAGCCATAATGTAGATCTTTTAAATAATGAATAGTTACCAATAATATTTTGTTTACAGCTGGAAACTTATGATAATCTCAGATAAAACTACAATAGCTAAGCTGTTTTGGAGAAGATATAAAACTTAACAGCGGAAGTGCTTTGTATTTTTAAAAATTAATCATTTCATATAGACATAAAATTAATGCCATTAAACCACAATTCTCCCCTAAACCTGTTATTTTGATCAAGTTCAATATTTTCCATCATCATTAAGTTCAATATTTTCCATCATCATTAAAAGAAAACAATGACATTTCACAATTTCATTGTAAATTAAAATACATTTGTATATTTCCTGTTAATATTGTGAGCAGACAATAACACAAGTCCTCTTATGAAATGATTATCATTGGAGCCAAAATGCAGCAACATGTAACCAAACGGTTTTAAGAAAGCTGTTGTTAGTATTGATCGTGACTAAACAAACACAAGACATAAGACGAACAAAAAAAAAATAAAAAAAATGAGCCCAACACATCAGAAAACAGACATACCATCTGACTGAGAGCACCTGGCATTGCAAGTATTCGAGCCCTTCGCTCAGCTTCCTGTAAACCAAACCATCACCATACGGAAACCCAACACCAATTCCCAATAAATTAAAATTTATCATAAATACAGATATCAAAAGGTGCTATAAAGTGAACTTTGATTTAATTATTTTTAAAATATATTCTATGGTTGAAATTAATTTTGTTTATGGTAAATTACAAACTGTACAGTTTGCTTTTAAATTATTAATAAAGACACATGTATTCCATATTTTATTTATTTATTTTTAAATTGGAAACATGTCCTGATAGTACAATCTCCCTACATTACCATTAGGTCCAACACCTAGCCTGCTACCTTTTGGGGCTACGGTTGGACTTATTTAATTTTTTTTTAACAGTAGGGCATGTGATAGTATATTTTCTTCAGGTATTTGATCAAATAGTGTTCAAGTTTCATGACAAAGTTCTGTTAATATAATGAACATTTGTCCAATATTTCAACGAGCAGGAGGAAATCATTGATAATAATATCAAATTAATCTCTAACATGAAAGTTGTAGGAACACAAGAGAACGTTGAAATCAACAGTTGAATTATTTTAGAATATATCCAGATCACAAACAAAGAAGGAATATACTAGCCGCTATTAGCTGAAATAAACCTAAACTTGCAAGAGGACCGGAAAGAATAAACATTCAAATTTATTTATTAATACAAATATATTTTAATATCACACACAGTCTTAACAATAAGTCTTCATTCATTTAAAGGAAAAATTGTCATCTATCGAAACCTATTTATACCATACATAATATGGTAGGATAGATCCCTTTTCTCAGGAGTGATGGACTTTGATGAATGAGGTATCACATAAAAGGGAAACATAATTTTAACCTTTTTAATTCTCTTCTATGTATTCAGTATTTGTGATAGATTATACAGTATCTTAATTTTTCTAAACTTTATATTATTTTTCAAGTGTTTTACACTTTATTCTATATCTCACTTCTTTTTAGTATACAAAGACATCATATTTTAGCAACTAGGTCCATTTACTCCATGTCTAACCTAATACATTTTATCTAATAATAATCCATTACATTTCTTTGTTAATTAATTGCATTCATTATGATTATTTTATCAATCCCCAACTTTGTTGCCGTTATTATTTATATCGTAAGTTCCTCTCTGTTACTGTTATTATATTATGTCATATTATATCTTCTTATTAATGTAAATAGTTTCTCATATCTATGTTATCTGATCTTTCCTTAGCCCTCATGAAGACCTGAACTTTGGGCCGAATCGTCAGCAAAAATAAATATAATTTATTTTTTATTTTTAACTGAACACCCCAACCAACTTCTCTTCAATTTTCACTACAGAATTATTTTTAATTCAGATTAATTTCTCCTAGAAATAAATACATGTTGTTTACTATAAGACTTATTCGCATAAGTAAAATAGTTAAAACAAAATTCCAAATAATTTTTATCTAATAAATTACGATGCTAACGTTATCAAATTATCCTTTGTATTACTGAATGTTAGGTATATATATTTTTTTATACTTTTCTGTGGATATTTTCTTTTGAAACTCTTACCAAATAAATTAGCTGCGGTAATTTAACAACTGGTAAACTGGCAAATAAAAGTTCCACTACTTCAAGCTTTTTTTTGGTCCAATCAAAGAGGAATTTCTTTCTGGTCTGCTTGCAGAAGCCTAAGGAGTAGCACTGATCCTTCTAATTATCTCGAGGAATATTTAAGTAACGGATAATTTTAGCTGCATATGAAATGGTTTTCTCCATTTCTTCTTAAATTTGTTGACAAGATCCAGCTTTTCTTTTCAGCATATCTTGGACTGATGTCCCTCACCACGAGAGATCAAAAAGCACATTCAGACTTACTAGGCACTGATGTCAAAGCCATATGCATACCCCAGCCCTGCAGCTGGTTTCTGCTTCAGAACAGACAAAAAAGAGCAACCATTTTGTCTGAAAAGTTGGGTGTCCTTCGATGGGTAAGTATGAACTCTTTATATATTTATCCTGATAGACTGATTTCTTTCATATTTTTATCTTAGGCCTGGACATCACCTTATGATTTGCAGTCATTCAACATAAAACTCAGTGTGGAAAGGCTTGTTCACGGCAGTTCTCCTACTCCCTGTCAATCTAATAAGTCTCTCAAAGGGGATTTTAGAAAGTAATTTATATGTTCATAGAAGGCGAATTACACAAAAAAACGTTTCAAGGCCTGCTTGATTACAATCCTTACGTTGTTTTTTTCTATGCCGCTATAACCTATGAAGGGTCTTAGGCTCAGTAATTTGTAAGGAAGTACTGTTTTAAGGCCAACGGATCAGCAGGGAGGTGATTTCATTGAGCCAAGATCACGCTCACCCATCAGGTTTTTCCTCTTAATTAACTATTTAATTGGGAGCCACTTTATATAGGCTGGGTATACCCCAAGAGGGTCTTCACAGCCCAGGGTTGATGTTACAGAATAAATAATCACCTGCCATCAGCCAGATATAAATCCAGCACCTTGAGCATCTTGAGGAACCTCCTCACACACTGAAGTACTCCGTCCTTACAATCCTAATATATTAGGTAGATAATTCCTCTAGTTTCTGATTTTGAAAGAGTAATTTGGCTAGTAAGTTTCATCAGTATCAGTTTCTTACATATGTATAGTCAAACCTATATAATACGTAAATCCAACGCAAATGTTCTTTTAAAAAAAAATTGATAAATCATCAGTGTTCAATACAAAATGACAAATTCACCACATTGATTATTTTCAACTTTTTAGATTCATGGGCATGTATAATTAATTACCCGTATGTAAAAACAGCAAATCTGCAACATCCAGATTTGAACACTATAATCTTAAAATTGAAACATATGTTTTGTTTTTTCTTATTAAATTTTAAATATTCTGATGAACATATACTGAAGAATTTTATATATCACTTTTTGTTCAATACATAGAAATTTCATTCAATATACAGAATACCTTTTTCTAATTAAAAATCATGATTTCTAAATAAATTTTAACGCATAGAGATTTTCTATTGATGGAAGTTCAATATACAGGAGTTGAAGGGTACAAATTATTTCAATGATTAGACAGTGAACACCTTTATTAATGTTTCATAATTCATTATTATTAGGTAGATGGATTAATGTAAGACTAGCACTTTACAGGACACACCTGCAACTGTAAAATGGGTGTGACATAGGAAACCTTTTTTGTAACAATCTCAACTTGCATTCCTCATAACACTAAATCCAGAAACGAAAACAAAACATAGATGTGCAGATATCACAAATAGCATAGCATTTATTAGAAAAAAAAAATTAACTCATTTTTTTTTTGTATATATTTATTTATTTTTTTTTAAGATAAATCAATCGAGATGAAGTAATAATTTGCAGATGGAAAAAGTACATTAGGGATCAATTGATTAATTTATTCAAGTCTAGGAGAACACGAAAACATAATTTTAGGAAACTTTAATATTTCAGTTTAATTAGTTTAAACTCAATGTGAAAATAACCATTTCAAATTTTAAAGATACATTCCACACAGAATAATTGAAAAATGTGATTAGCATTTCTCAGGCTATTCAACCACAGAATATAAAAACAAAATATGCACAATGTTCACTTTATTCACAACCCATTTCTGTTTTTTTTTTTTGTTTTTTTAGGAACAATAGTAACATGTAAGCACACACAGATTGATATAAGTATTAATACAAGAAAAACTATATATACAGAATATAATATATGTGTATGTGTGTGTGGGATTGTATGCATACATGTGGTGTACATACACACACACACAAATAAATTGTGTACCTTTATACCTCTAAACCTTTTAAGTAACAAGCCAACAGAAGCTGATAATACACTAAATTTACAACAAAAAAATTCCTATATATCAGTTTCAAAATACATTTATTTTTGGTAATTTATTAATTTTTTTAATAAAAACAATTTCAATTCAATCTTGATCTATGATATTAAAAAATTCAACCAAACTATTAAAAGAACATTAAAATTAACTTGAACAGAAGGTTGTGGAAATTTTTAAAATGCAGCAATTTCTTTACTTTTTTTTTTTTAATTTATTTTTATTTTTTTCAATCAGCACAATTGCTGGTTTGTGACTTATAACGGTTTCATCTCAGTTGAGTAAGTGTTTGATGTCACGCATTTATATTTCTAATTACGTAAACAGGTTAACTGTAATTATCAAATTTAATACTAGCTTAATCTCAACTGTCACTCTAAGCATCACTTATAAGTATGAAGTAAAATAAAATATTCAGAATTACTTAGGATTAATAATAAAAGTCTAACTGAAGGTTCATTCCATCAGTTTTAATCTAAAAGAAAGCATGTTCAGCTATGATATTTATTTATTGTACTTTTTAGGCTTAAAAATCTACATTAACATTTAATTTTAAACCATTCGTTCAGATTCAGTACATTGTTTAATTTAACCATCAAATATGATTAGATTTTTTTAAAGTGGGAAAGCAGTGTACTATAGATTCTTTTTCTGCCTTTGTTGAGGATTGATAGATTTTGACAAACAAGGTATAAAATGAAAGGGAATTTCATGAAGATGTGACAGATTCAAATTACAATCCTCAAATTCTGAGTTCAACTTTCATAAAAGTGATTGAAAAGTCTAAAGAAGGTAAAGTGACAGATCGAGATGGGACAAATAACATTTTTAAAATTTCAATGCGGACATCAAGCCCCAATAAATTTCTTCAGAACTTATTTTAAATTCCTAAACTTCTATTAATAATTCTAGCTAGAGCCTCCTAGATGTCACGGGTGCCAAGGAATATGTGATAATTACATATTTTTTAGTTTTTAAAAATTTTAAATTTATTATAGCCCCAAGAATGGGAAGGGAAAGGTAGAGGGGACCAAGGATAATGCAGTTGCTTTTTGAAATGAAAACTTCTTTAGGCACGTTTTGCACTTTTTTGGGGGAGAGTGAATCAGATTGAGCCGTCAGATATCCGATGTGTAACGTTCGGATAAAGTCGGCTGGAGTCGACTAATTGAAGTGTTTTTGCACATGGATTAAAATATCTCAGAAACTAAAAATCGGACCAGCATACTGTAAGCGAGGGAATTGTTCTGCATTCCATCCTCTTTATAATGAGCTATTATTTATAATTTATATTTCATATTATTAACCTTGTCTTGTTGATGTTTTCACTTTTAAAGCACACACCTTGTTTGCTTTTTCTTGTTAATAAAAATAAAGATGTTTTGTGGATATATTTTAATTTTTTTGGTTGTAATATATACTTCACAGGGAGTGGGATAGATCAGTGGTAGGTATTGAGCTTCCAATGCTAAAGGTCCCAGTTTCGAATCCCGGCTGATGTCAGAAAATTAATTATTCTGTTTCATTGGCCGTGGGGCGACCCTGAGTACATAGATCCTCCCTCCTGAGGCACACCCAGCTTCTATAATGTTGGGTATTCTTAATTATAGTAATTGATTAAGGGGAAAAACCTGGCAGTTGAGCGTGATCTCGGTCAAATCACCTCCTTGTACAACCGTAGACCAAGAAACAGTGCTTTCCCTAAATAGTACTGAACCCAAGACCCTTTAATGGTTGTAGTGGTACAGGTTTTTTTTTTTTTTTATATATACTTCACTCTTAATTGTTTAACGATGGTGGACTCATATGAGTCAATAGCCAGTCAAGCTCTTTATCAGGGATTCTCAGGGATGAATTCTATTTTTAAACTATCTTGCGACTTTCACATGAGGCAGTAGGTAATTTTTCAATGACTGGAGATTATGGAGATTCATTTTTGAACAATGCCATCAATAAAAATGTCTAAGAAGTCAATAGGTGTTATGAAAACTATTCCGCCCTAAAGGAAGTTCCACAGTTCCCGCTCATCATCGCTAAAAAGTTAATAAGTGAAAAGAACCAGAAACCAACGATCTGCCTTTTTTAAACCGACCCAATTGGTCTCAACGAGTAAATGCTAGGTTCGTAAATGTTTACAGATAGCTGAGTCTTTATTATCTTTCTGTTAAACTTCTGAAGGGTAAGCTAATCACTAATTAAGCAAACTTATTTATTTCAATATAATGTGATTGTAAAATATGGAGCCTGACAATTACATTCAAAATAGACTTTCTAGATAATCGCACATTACTTAAGCGAATAAAAATGTTTCCCTAATATTGTTTAAATTTCAAATTTATTCGGAGAAAAAAAGGGGAAAGATCGAAGGAGAGAGTCCTCACTCAGATATAACAGTTATTTAAAAAATTGTTAGAAAAACCGTTATGCATACAAATAATGTTATTCAACTCTTCATTCAAAATAAAAAGGAAATTAAGAAAGTAACACCAAAGCACAGAAATCTCCTTAAAATACAATCAATTAATTTTGATTTCATCAAAAAGATGATAAAAAAAATGTGCTAGTACCAGCTCTATAATTGCCACTTTTAAATTTAAAGCTAATTTCTCGCTTTATTTGAGATTTCAGAGAATTATTACAGCAATTATACTTACGATACTGTTAGTAAGCAGTTGTAAACATTAGCCCGGCCGTGGGCCAACCCAAATTGGTTTCATGGGACCACTTTGATGATTGATAATGTCACAGTATGCCCCATTTCAGGTAAATATGCTTTTAAAAAATTTAACAGAAATGAAAAAAAAAATTAATTGCTGTAAATACTATGATTCAATACTTAATTGAGTTGATTCTCTTGAATCTTGAATAAAATATATTTTTATCCTTTCTTTCATTACATTTTTCTAATACTTTACTAACATATGCCGAATGTGAATGCTAAATACAAAACTGGAATTCATTAGTATTCATAGTAGTGCTTGTACTTTATTATTATGCAAATATTCATATATTAAATTTTTTTTTTTATACAGACTTGGTGAGACAATGTTGCATTAGAAATATAATATTGTCTGGCATGAGGCATACTTTCATTTAACTAGCAACAGCAATTCGTGGACGGCGTATGAAAGTTACACAAAAAATACGAATTCCACTACAAGTAATTTCTACTGTATATAGTAAAGTATAAATTTTATAAAAATATTTTTACACTAGTTATTGTGGCATCTTGGTGGTAATAACGTCAAAGAACACAGCAGGAATAATACTGTATACAGTGATCTTCTA